ATAGTGGCCTTTTTATAAATACTTATCACAAACACGGTAGTACAATACAACCAAATATCCTATGAAATGAAGTTTTTCGTTGCCTTTGAGTTCCTAGTAAAACCAACTTTGCCAGCTCCTCTATTTACCTTCTTCAAGAGTCTCTAAATCATCCCTTCCTTTTAGTCACAACTTTATTCTTCTGGTTTTATTTAAAGTGAAAATGCCAAGACTAATGTAATTTATTTCCTCCAAACCTTCACTTCTTGATCATTGGACAGGTATCTCCTATTTAAAATACCAATAGCTGTGTTAAAATTTATAGATGGTCTAAACCCCATGATTTTTAGTACTTTCTGTTACTTTCTCCTATTTTGCCAATCTCACTGAAGAGGCAGAAGGGGACTATTTTGCAATTTTTTATACAGGTAACTGTGATATACATTATTACATGATAACTGTGCCATCATAGCATTACCAAAAATGCTATTGGAAATTATCATGACTCTTGCTGTCTCTGGACCACTTTTTCATTACATAGTGAAACACTGTATACTCAAGGTTCAGAGGGCTGTGACTATTCATCAAATAATTAGTTATTGGATACCTATTATGTGTGAAGCATTGTGCTGTACATCATGGAGGATACACATAAGACAATATTATCCATCAAAGAGTTTATAGACAAGTAATTACACTAAATTATGCTATGTAGACTAAAAATACAGTGAGTGCTATAAAGTGGTAAGTTAGTAAAGAGGGTGGAGCCATTACTTCTAGAAGATCAGAGAAGACTTTAGGAAGGAAATTGCATTTGAGCTAAATCACAAAGAATGTATAGAAATTAGACAGGTAGAATAAAGGTGGGGCAGAAGGGCATCTTAAGTAGAAAGAATAGAATGATCAAAGGGATGTAGGTAGAAAAGTGAAAAGTATATTTGGGGAATAGCAAATTCCCAGACTAAGGAACAGTTTATGTTAAAAAAAAAAAAAGACATTAAGCACCTACTATATGCCAAGCACTATGCTAAATGCTTTACAAATTTTATCTCAATTGATCTTCCCAACAACCCTGAGGTATATGTGCTGTTATTATCCCCATTTTATAGTTGAGGCAATTGAGGCAAATAGAGGTTAAGTGACTTGCCCAGGGTCACAAAGCTATAAAATGTCTAAGGACAGATTTGAACACAGATCTTTCTGATTCCAAGCCCAAAGTTCTGTCCACTGCACTAATAAAAAATAAGTTAGAAAATAAATTGGATTTTGATCATAATGCGACCAAGAGGAATAGGAGAATTAGGAGGGAGCACACCACACTGTGCTGCCTTTTTAATGAAAGCTTCAGAATTCCAGGATCAAGTTCCAGGCAAATATGTGTCAATAAAGATAAATCAAAGAGAAGTAAAGAGTTCAAGACAAAAGCAAAACTTTCAGGACTTTATAAAGATGAATCAAGAAGAACTTCTTTCCTCTCTCATTCTGAGAGCTCTGATGATTGCACTAAATCACATTCACTTGAGAAGCCTATTCCAATAAGAAAGAAAGAGATGTGTTGCTTGGCTACTGTAAAGGAATAAGAATGTTTAAGTAAAAGAATCTGACGGTTTCACTCTTTAATAGTAATCATAGGTCCCAGGGAGTGGCAGTAGGTACTCAAAAGAAACCAGTGTGGTGCCAATCAGCATAAGATCCTAGTACTAAGAATGAGATAACCTAGCTACCCCAAGAGCTCTGTGGCATATGCATGTAATGGAATGTTATTGTGCCATAAGAAATTATGAAAAAGATGATTTCAGAAAATCCTAGGTAGTATGAACTGATGCAGAGTAAAGTAAGCAAAACCAGGAAAACAATTAATACAAAGAACATATACAACATTGTAAAGAAAAACAACTTTGAAAGACTTAAGTACTAATCAAAGGTATGACCAACCAATATTTCCTGATGTAGATGAATGATGATGAAACATGTTGCCCATCTCTTTATGGAGCGGTGATGGACAAAAGAGTTAGAAATGTACATTTTTGGACATGATATCTATAGCAATCAGTTCCTTGACTATGCCTAATTTGTTAAGAAGGGTTTGTTTTCTTTTTTAATTTTTTTTTATTTTTTTGGTGAGGCAATCAGGGTTAAGCCCAAGGTCAAACAGCTAGTGTTAAGTGTCTGAGGCTGGATTTGAACTCAGTTCCTTCTGACTCCAAGGCCAGAGCTCTATTCATTGCGCCACCTAGCTGCCCCTTTTTCTCTCCATTTTCGATTGAGTTTGGGGAGTTAGCAATTGGGGTGCAAAAAAAGAGGGCCATTATAACATTTTAAAAAGTGCACAGAAAAGAACAAAAAGAAATTCAAAAGAGCACAGAGAAACAGGGCAGTTTTGAAAATAATTTATTATATACCTTAGAAAATATCATGTGGTATGAAATGGAGATTATGGTTTCCTATAGAATCCTCTTTTTATGTTCTGTTATAAATGTCAAAGTGCTCTTTTTTAGTGTTTAAGTTCAGAATAATTTTTTTAAAAAGAAAAATGTTTAAATTAATTGGCAAAAGATGTGAAGCATTGCCTTATTGAAAGATGAACAATATAGTACATAAAAGGAGTAGGAAAATAAGTTCTGTTTAATAAAAATTGCTAACATTTGTGTGTAGGGAAACAGCTTTCAGATAGGTTCTGAACAGTTCAGTTGTAAAAGGTCAAAAAATGAACTATGGCATAAATATGAAAGCTCAAATCATCTAATGATGGTTGTAGAATGGTGCCCTCTTTTGAATGTAAACAGTTTGATGACTTGAAGAGGCAGAGAGGGAGATTTTATTTAGTAAAAGCTGCTAAAACTTAATTATATAGAAATATAGTTGAAAGCACCAACTGTTAAAGTGAAGATCTTTGAAAACTTTAGAATGGCTAGAGCTGTTGGTCACTGTGGTCCCTTAATTTATTTGCATTTAATAGTTTTAAGATTTAAGAGGACAAAACTCACAAAATGAAAAATCACGTAATTGTTTGGAGACTGGGATGATCAAATAAGTATTGTTGATTTCACAATGGATATTTGGTAAGTTTTTATCTTATAAATGAAAGGTGAATCTCTGAGAATCTGATTTAAGCCTGTGATGTGTTAAGAGTAAGTGAAAAAGGTTAAAGAAGTTTGAATGGAGTGATCCAGAAAGGGCAAGAGAGGAGTCAACTTTGAGCTGTGTGAAGGAACTAGCAGCAGAAATAATCAACTAATAAGAAATCTTCAGCTGTCAGGCTTGATTAGCTGAATAAAGGTTCAAACTGGGAAGAGAGCTTCAGTTTTAACTATTGCTCTTTACCTCTACTTACAGTTTGAGAGAGGTAAAGCCTCTCAGAAGTGCCTGTTACTCTGCTGCTCTCACTAATTTAATATGGAAAGCCAGAAAGGGGAAAGAGGATTTGTAACTATTTTGCTGTATAGGAAGAGATGCTGAGATCTAATTGAGCAACTCAGCATCCCAGGGAGGAAAAAATTGGCTGGGCTTAACTGTATTGCTCAGAAATTCAATCTGAGTTGCTTTGTTATGAATTCCCTTTACTATAAGCTAACCAGACAATGCAGAATCCTCATAAGTGAATAGCTGGCTCAGATTGTCTGAATTGCCCAGAGAGAGCCAGCCTGATCATACATAGGTAGATCTCTAGGTTAGAAAAACCACTAACTAAAATAAAAGCTTTCTCAGCACACTTTTAATGACAGTGAGAGTCAGAGGGAGAGTAGTTAACAGAGAAGCATTTTCATGTTGGTGCAAAAATCCCCAGTGAATCAATGACGTCAAAACCTGTAGTCCAATTTGTAAGTAACCCTGAAAACAAAGGTTTTCTTCCCTCGTGTGCTTCCCTTCCAGGTTTCTGTGTTTGCTTAGTCTTTCACACAGGCACTGATTATGTTGTTTGCAGAGTATGATCCAGGTTTATGTATGGATTGTGATATAGTTATTTCTTCATTTGTTTTACTAAATGAGTATCTGTGATGTGATTATTAGTTCTTTCATCTTATTTCTAAGTAAATAGTTGTGTTCTAAACGTGTAATGGCTGGTTTGTGTAAATGGAATTACAGTGGTGGATGCTTAATAGCCAAAGTACTGAGTAGGGAGAGTTTATTCTCCCACAACAGGGTTACCCAAAGGGCCTGAGAGATTTTGAATGTACCTATGGTAGTGGTCCTTCTCTAGCAGCCTAACCTACAAGTGTGAAGGCAGCTTAGAGTGAGCAAGCCATCCCAGAGAAAAAGTAGATAATTCATGCCTTGTATGAGAGATGACATTGAAGGGGTTCATGTGGAATACTCCAAGTATACATTATGGAGGAATAAGCAAAGTCCAATGCAGATTATAATAAACATTCTGAAAGGCAGCTTTAATTCTAAAACATTCTTTTCTGCTAATAAAACAATTATAGTGATTTCTGAAGGAATTTCCCTAGCCCCTTACAAAAAATTTCAATAAAGTAGATTTAAATAAAGTCTTTTGGCTGTTGATCCAAGATGAATAAACCAATGTTTTTATTCCAATTGATGCATCTAGGTGCCTCAGTAGATACTGCACTGGGCCTGGAGTCAGGAAGGTCTGAGTTCAAATCCAGTCTCAGACAATTACTAGCTATATGACCCTTGACTAGTCACTTGACCTCTGTCTGCCACGGTTGAAATGGGGATAATAACAATATCTACCTTGAAGGTTGGTTGTGTGGATCAAATGAGATAATATTTGTAGGAGGAAAAGTACTTAACATAGTAATTGGCACATAGTAGACACTATATAAAAATTTATTCCCTTCTTTCTTCCCTTTCTAACTGAATTAATTTCAATGTCAGCTAAGATAGAGCTCATTTTTTATTGGTATCAGAAATACCTCCATGTAAAAAATTAATTCAAATATTTTTCCTTGACGAAATCGATTTTAACTCTAACATTACTATAAAGATTATCAGAAAACAGACATATTAGATCATAGTAGATAAACAAAAAAGGCTTCTACTTTCTTTGAAATTACCTTGTAGTAAATTGATTTCTCTGGAATCTCCATCACTAAATATCCCAATACTCCGTACATTCCGACCATCAAGAACTTTTTCTACAAGCAGCAGTAGACTTTCCAAAGTCAAGCCAGTATATTCATACACCAGAGGAATGACATCAGTCTTAACACTGTCCACAACCATCTAGAGGAACAGTCTGAGTTTCAGAAAATGAAGTTCACTTATTGATGAGTTATTAATGAACAAAATATAATTAAAATTACATTTGTTTTTTAGAAGTGACTATTATTTTTTATTATAAGACCTCTGAAGGCATGGAAGGAAGAAGGTAAACCCCATGGAAGCCCCTTCCTCCATCACTTCTTAATACTAATCCCCAAACTTCCATCTCTGAGGAGCTGCCTGCTTCTATACAGATCCATCCTTTCCTATCACCTTGTATCCAAGAAGTTAGCTAACCAGGCTCAGGAGTAACATCTGGAACCATAGATTAGAGGAAAACTAATTGACTCTCCAAAGGAAACTGACAACCTTGATCTTTGCCCTGGTTGTCCCCATGAGTGGAATGCACTCCCTCATCATCTCTACCTCTTAGGATCCCTTGTTTCCTTCAAAACTCTGATCAAGCTCCGCTTTCCATGTGAAGCCTTTACTGATCTCCCCAGCTTCCGGGGCACTCCCTCTTCCAGCAAAACAAACAAACAATTTATTTTGTGTCTGTTTCATATGTACTTACATACGTTATCTTCTCTGTGAGAATGTAAGTTCCTTGAGGTCAGAGACTATCTTGTTTTTGTTGTGTTTCCTAGTACCTAACACATTGCCTGGCACTTAGTAGGTACTTAAATGCTTGTTATTTTATTATTTTCATAGAGTTCTAATTAGCTGAGCTAGCTACTTAAACTCCACCCTATTGTGTATATGGGCAACTAGATGGCACAGATGATAGAACACTGGGCTTAGAATCAGGAAGACTCAGCTTCCTGAGTTCAAATCTGACCTCAGACACTTACTTGCTATGTGACCCTGGGCAAGTCACTTAACCCTGTTTGCCTCAGTTTCCTAATCTGCAAAATGAGCTGGAGAAGGAAATGGGAAACCACTCCAGTATCCTTATCCAGAAAATCCCAAAATGGGGTCATGAAGAATGGAAAACAATTGAAAATGACTGAACAACAACAATTGTGTATGTATCAGTAAAGAATGATGTGCACTCTTTCTTTCTCTCTCCATATATATATGTATATATATACATATGTGTGTGTATTTTATTCATTTTCATTTTTAAAAAATTTGAATCACATATTAGAAATTTCTTGAATAACTCAATGAAAAATATCATGGTCTCATGTTATTATTTTAGTCAGAAAAATTTGGGGAGAATTGTGAATTGTATTGTTCTTTGTCTTTAATGTGGCATAGTAAAATTTGATCATAGGATCATAGCCCTAGAGTTAGAAAAGCCTTAGAGGGTACTAGTCCAACTCTTTTATTTTACAAATGGGAAAACTGAGTTTGAGGGAGGGTGAGGGACTTGGCCAAGGTCACAAAGGCAGTTCACATCAGAGGCAGAATTTAAACCCAGCACCTCTGACTCCAGACACATTGCTTGTTCCACTGTACCATGCAATCCTAAATCGATCAAACTATTTTCCTTTTAAAAGATACATAGTTTAGAAGATGAGGCATTGAGTATTGCTTTATTCTAGACCAAGTACTGGCCTTATGACAAAATTAATACCTCATATGCAGGAATCCGAGATGATATCAACACTAGAGAAGTCTGGACTGAATGTGAAAAGCTGCCATACTTCTGATCAACCCTGTGGTAATGCTTATTTGATAACAGAGGATAAGAATGACTTCCAGGTGCGTTCTTTCTACAGAGAAACAAATGGAAAACAAAAAGGGGTATGTTAAGTTGAAATTTTTTCTATCTGGATTATGAAAAGTAGAGAGGAACCAAAATACATCCTGGCTATCATAAATATTCCACTAGATCTGTTGATCTCATCAATTTGGGAGTTGATTCCATTGGTGCAGATTGTAACCCATCCAAACCTGCCCATCCTTTGTGACTCTTATCTATGTTCACCCCACAATTCACCACAGATGGTACGTTCAACATTCTGATAGCCTTCCTGATTTTCTCCTGACATTGTGAAGGCACCAGTGGCACACACTGGCTATCCACAAGCCATTATGTGCTCATATAATTAGCCCATCTTCTCTTCATGTCATAGAATTTCTCAACGTCATCCTCTGCTTTGTTCTTCTTTGGTGTTCTTTCTTGGTAATCTATTATAGTCTGCTGGCACTCACCAAGCATCTTCCTATTGTCCTCTGCGGAATATTCTTCTTTACTTCATAAAATCATAGGATCAAAGTTTTAGAACTGGAAGGGACCATAGGGGTTATAGAGTCCAACTGCCTCATTTTACAGTTGAGGAAACTGAGGCTAAAAGAAGGGATTTGCTCAGTACCACATAGCTGGTAAGTATATAAGGTGGGATTTAAACCTAAGTCTTCCTGAGTCCAAGTCCAATATCTTATTCATTATATCATGTTGTCTCATCTTTAGAAGGAGGTATATTCCATATCTTAATGCTGTATAGAAGGACCGGTAATATGTTATTTTTAAAATCAAACTTTGCTTTCAATGAGAAGGTTGCAGTCAGGAAAAGGGTGTGATTTCCTGAAAGGAATCCATCCACTCTCTCTCTCTTCCTTTTCAACTTTGGCCTCAACTCATTGTCCATCTATACTATGTATCCGAGGTATATATAACATTGGGCAACCTCTATGGAGTGTCTATCCAAATGCATGTTGAAATCTGGGCAATGGGCAGTCTTCATTCACTTGGCCTTTGCTGTGTAACACAGGTCAAACTCCTTTGAGTGATTACAGACTTCATCCAGGAGACTCTTCAATGTCTTGGGGGCTTGATACAATCAACATAATGGCATCCACAAATAGGAACATCTGAAGGATTTCATAATCCACAGGGAATCTCTCTACATGTACAATGCTCTGGCTCTCCTTCATCACAATGGTGAATACTTCTGTTTAATGTCTCATCTGAATTTTGTCTGAGTCACTGAACAGGTTTTTCCTCTGTTCTATCTTCCAAAGAATCCCGAATAATCTTGATATATGAATGGTAGGTATCTTCTAGTAAAAAAAGTTTGGAAGGTAATGTTCTGTTCCACCAAACAAAATTCTTTTTTGTAATCCCCAAATAATAAACACAGTGGGATCTTATATTCTCTACATGACAACATAAATCAAAAGTTTAATCTTAATTTATACCAAAAAAAAATGCTATCTCAACACTTAGTCCTGTCTTTATTTTCCCTTTGTGGCTCTGCAAATCCCCTTCCTGAGTGTAACAGGAACTAAACCTTCCTGTTTTATTACTGCCTTACTTGCAAGTAACCAAGTAGAAAGGAAAGATCATGGACGCTAACTTGTAGCCTATGGGAGGCACTAATCAAGTAATTATGGAACAAAAATGCTACCTAGAGTATTAATAGCAATGATATTTCTCCATAGAGGTTACCCAATGTTATGACTTTTCAATTCTTTTTGGTCATTCCATGTCCAGTGATGGAAAACAGTATCTTTCTATTGTTTTACTTCCAGCACTCTTGGTTACATATCACCTATGTTACATTGTCTTCTCCTGATATTTTCATTAAAATGCATATACTTTTCACAAATCCTCAAAATGTAGTCTATCTTTGGGGTTATAAAGTTTCAAAATTTCAATGTTGGTTGGTGCATATTTTACCTCTTTACTAATAAGAGAGAAAAAAATTTAAATCTCACTGTTATTTGAAGTATTAAGTGCTTAAATAGAGTTGGCCATGTATATATACTAACAACAATAATAATAACTGATGTCATATAGTGTTTTAAGGTTCACAAAACTCTTTCACCACAACTTTGTGAGGTTAGATAATGTAAATTATATTATTTCTGTTTTATAGATAGGGACACTGAATCTCAGAAAAGTTAAGTGACTTGCTCAAAGTCACACAGTATCAGTGCTGGAATTGAAACCCAGATTCTCTGATTCTAAATCTAGTGCTCTTTCCATTGCAAAATGCTTTTGCCTACTTTATAAATATGAATAAGTATATAAATAAATATTAACTGATTCACAAGTACTTAGGATATTGGATTCTATCATCTCTTATGCTATTCTCTGACCATAAGAATCTTAGACTTGTGTCATTTTTTTTTTGGACCATAAAATGTCATATAATAAATTGCACCAGTAATGCATGGTCTAGTTGAGTTGTTATGCATAGACAATTTGGGAAGAGGGTCCAGGATTTTAGGAAAATGTACTGCTAGTAGCATGGTGCTAGAAATAGTGCTGGACCTGAATCAGGAGGAAACCTGCTTCAAATCCTGCCTCTGTGCCCTTTTAACTGTGGAACCACAGGCAAGTCATTAAACCTCTCTGAGCTTCAGTTTCCTTATTTGTAAAATGGATATAATAATACCTGTAAGTACGTATCTTAAAAGGTCTTTATGAGGAACATAAATAATGTATTTATCTGCATATTTATCATATTTTATGAACATTTTATATGAGTTATTAATTCATAAAAGTTATGCAAATTTTGTGATTACTGTGTTTTGAGTGCCTTTTAGAAATATTTCTATATTCAGCTAGCCCTATAGTGACACTAATACAGTAGGAGATGACTGTCATGTCACTATATAAGAAACAACAACATAGTCTCAGGCTAGGAAGTTATATGAGGCTTCATGATCATCTAGTTTTGTCATCTCCATAGCATTTTCTCTAAATCATTTCACACACACAGAGAGAGAGAGAGAGAGAGAGAGAGAGAGAGAGAGAGAGGGAGAGAGAGACATTATATCTGATCATCTGATAGACACATCAGAGAGAACATGGAAGGGTATAGCTATCACTGACCTTATAATATCCTAGTATCACTACCCAACCCTTTGATGTATGTTGTGCCTAAGATCTCCAGTGGTTTGCAGTACAGTACAAAGCAACTGATTTTGCTCAAGGACATGCCTAAAAGAGCTAAATTCAAGGGAAAGTCACCCAGAAACTTAGACTTCCCAGAGCTGTACTATTCAGACACAAAGTCTGCTGCTCTCTCCTTCTTCCCAAAATATTTTGTCATGTGTCACAGTATAAGGGCCAGTCTAACACTATCTATTTATACTTTTATAAGCCACCTTAAGACTGGCTAAGAGGGGAAGAGATGCTCTCCTCAGGGCTATTAGCAGCACCCCACAGAGCAATTGTTCTGTTTTCCTGACTGTGTTAACACCAGGAGTGAGCGAAAGCCCATTGTTAAATTTTCATTGCGAGCATTAATATCACAGAAATTTGCTAACTGCTAAAAATCAGGGCTTGATTTATTGCTTTGTTGATTGTCTAGACTTAGCAAAGTGTTAATAATGCAGATTAACTCTAAAGTGCGTGCGTGTGTGTGTGTGTGTGTGTATTTTTCCCCCAGAGAGCCATGTTGTAAAATATTTACCAGTATTCTTTTGTATTTCTCTGTAAACATTTCTGAGTTCAGGAGGAATATAGAAGGCTCAGGAAATGAAGTCATCACCAGGTTAATAATAATAACAATAATTGACATTTATGTAACATTAATAATATTAATAATAATATGACATTTATATAAGGTTTGCAAAGTACTTTACACCTGTCACCTCATATGAGCCTTATAACACACTTGGTTTACACCTTTTCACTACTTCAACAGGATATCTCATTTGGACATGCTACAAATTCCTTCAAAACTTCAATAGGTCACATCTCATCTTGTGTGACCTTTGTCCGTGTTTGCCACAGAGAGTGTGTATCCAACATGTTGGGGCCTTCCTCTGTCTCGATATTGCTTGGGTATAAATGAAGCATAATCTACTGGTTATCCCTAATAGCAACATCTCCTGCTCTGGTCATACATTTCCCTGCTATCTTTTTACACCACTTCTGCTATGTAATTCTTCGTTGGTTATATGTCCACTCATGGCTACAATGTCTCTTCATTGTCCTTTGGATCATCTGTAACTTTAATTCTTTTGAGACTATGGTAACCAATGCTTCATTCATAATGATATGACATCCATCACTAGAAGAATACAAATGTTAAAAAGACATGCCTTTGTTTCAGGGAGATGCTTGACCTCATTAAAAGCACTATTATTTTCCAAATTAAATCCTACTCATCTTCCTTGGCCTATTCAACTCTAGTCTGAATTCACTGTCTATCTGTGGTGTCTGTTCACAATTTACATCCTGGTGGACCTGTTCTATGGGATGTCCACTGAACTGGGTATCATAGTCTGGACAACAGGCATGCTTCATCTACTTGATTTTTCTTGTATAGATCATAAGCTTTGAAAGGGAAAGGACTTCAGGAGACACTGTATCCATCTACTCATTTGGTCTCAACCTATCATTTTACAGATGAGGAAACTGAGGCCCAGAAATATTATATGACTCACGTAAGGTCATAGAACTAGGACTCTCACCAAGGTCCCCAGACCACAAATCTAGCATTCTTTCCACTGCACCATTTGGCTCTGCATAGTTAGCCTGAACTCTGTTAAGTAATTGTAGATTTTGATTAGGAGGCTTTGCAGTATTCTGGGATTTGATGTAATCACCAGCACAATGTCATCCACAAACATCCATCTGGAGGACCTCACCACCCAAAAGAAATCTCTGTTTCATTTGGACTCTATGCTAGACTTTCTCCATAAAGGTGACAAATACTTTCCTGTTTTATGCCTCACTGGAGATCTATCATCTCAAAATCATCAAAGTTACTTCTTATGTTTCTCTAGTTATTTCATATGATGCATGAGCTACATGTGTATGAGCTATGCCTTGTTGGAGGAGAATATTCAAGAAAGAATTTTGCTCTACCTAATGCATGGCAGGTTTCTTGGGTTTTTTTTTTTAACATATGAGCAAACAAGCACAAAGGGCCATTTTTGCGATTTTAAAGATATAGGCTACTGTAGAATATTATCTATGAAAGTCTTCCTATTCCCTTCTCATATATTCATTAAGGATGTCCTTAATATGTAGGTACAGTATTCTCATACATATTTTGCTGATCCAGGAAAGGAGTTATTAACATAAGTTGCCTTAGTCTGTCCTATCTCTTTAGCAAAAAGATTGTTTGTGGCCTCAGATGGATTTCTAGGCTTTTTTCTTTTTTCCTCTTTGTAGCTACTGATTTACACATGTTAATTTTCCTTAAGAACTGATAATAGTCTCTTTTGATTTCTATTATTTTTTCCCATCTCCTATTTCTGCTACCATTAACTCATTTAAATAAAGCTAGAGTTATTAACTGCAAGTCATATTGCCTCATTTTTATTCTACTTTGGTATTGATTTTGATGTTGGCAATAACAAGCTCATATTCTGACTGTGTAGCTGATTTGGAAATGGCTTTCACATTGCTAATCAATCATTTCCTATCTGTTGAGATAGAATCAATCTAATTTTTTGATGTTATTTAGTATTTGCCATGTCCAGCACTTCCCAACCCTCTTCTTGAAGAAAGTATTCATGACATGAGGGCATGAGGCATTTGTATGGTCTACCAGCCTTTGACCTCTTTAATTTCTTGATTGTGAGCTATATATTGCAATATTTTCCCCCATCTTCCCTTATGTCTATCTTTGCCCCAAGTATTAAAATGTTGATTTAATTCAGAGAATCTTAAATTCTTAGTAGAATTTCTCTACCTTCTCATCCTCTATAATGGGTGTTGGTATATAAGCTGCAATTATTTTTATGATAATCTTTTCACAAATGCTCACCATAAGCACTGCTATAGGAGATGAGCAAGTGTCCTATGAAATGGCCTTTCTTGTTGCCTTTGCACGAAGGATAAAACCAATCCTGCCAAATCATTTATTTGCTTTTTTACTGAGAGACTGTGAGACATCCTTCCACTAAGCTGCAATTTCCCTTTATCTACTGGTTTCATTTATAGCAAGAATGTCAATGTTGATATGAGTCAGTCCCTTCAGTGGCATGTCTATTCACTGGTCACTAGACAAAAATCTTACAGTTTAGGATAAGAACTATTAAGCCAATGTTAATCCTATAAGATTGCCTAAATATTAAAGTACTGATACTAAATTACCATCAAATGCTACATATAATATCACAGTACAAGCTAGAATGATGTTTAGAAGAAAAGTGAAAATCTTGAAGTCTTATGAAACTACATATTATTAGAGTTATAGCTAAAAACAAAGTATGAATTGAATCACTTTAAGGAAGCACCGCATGTTAACTGAATTATTTGAAAGTTAGATACTGAGATGTCGGAATGATTTCTAACCCAGAGAAAATGGAGATTTGCTTACTTTTTAGGTAAGGCTTCTAAAGATGCTAAAACAAGCTGTTTCTCCAAAGCTGCACTCAATCCTATGCGATCCTTTATAACCTGTGGGAGTTTTGGCTGGCATTTGGATTTTAACATTGTAGAGCAACAAGTTCCACTCATCCAAGGGGGTCGAACTTTGAATAACTCTCCTGAAAAACAAATATCAACAGAGTCTCCTATTTACTTACAGGTTTCTCTAAAGACATGTAGATATAAATAAAACCATCAGTAATAAAATAGGAACTAGGGGTGATAATTCAACTGAAAATAACTATTGGATTTTATTTGCTTTTGGTATTACAACTGAAAGTACCTAGTGATTTTAGCTAGAGATGAACAATGATAAGAAAATAAGTCATTCTCATATTTGGGGAATTGATTATGTAATTTACATGTTTCTCCTTCCTTCTTCCCGAATTTAAACCTCTTCCTTTTTATTAGCCTCTATAGTAGAGATAGCTACAAAGGAGACACTCTTTTCAAATCTCAAACTCAAATCAATCTTGCCACTTACTTTTGTGAATCCCAGAAATATGCAGCCTTAGCTACAAATGTGACTGGTCATATTTCAACTTATTTCCTATATTCTTTCTCTAATTCACCCATTCTTTGCCACACACAGGTTCATAGATTTTCCTCAGAGACCATTTAGTCCAAGCCTACAGATGAGGACACTGAGGCTCCTGAAGGTTAGGTGACTTGCCCAAAGTCACACAGGAAATGCATCACAGGCTTAAGTTGAAATTAAGAACCTCTACTTCCAGAACCCATGATCTTTCCATTGTATCATGATGTCTCCTAGTGCCCCATCCTCCTTCTTGCTTCTACCCTTATTTTCTTTCTTTCTTTCTTTCTTTCTTTCTTTCTTTCTTTCTTTCTTTCTTTCTTTCTTTCTTT